AAGTACTCCTGTTCTCTTTGCGGATACAGACTAACACGGCTGCTACTCTGAAACATGAACAACAGTGGGGCTGGTGGTTGTTCCTGTGCCAGCCTCTGGGCTCTGCGGTCCGTCTCATGCTAGTTTGGGGTTGGCAGCACCTTTGGACTTGATCCTGAGAAACCGGAGAGACAGGTGGGTCCCTATCAACTGTGGCATGTGTAACCCTTCTGCCAGGTGAAAGCAGCAGCAACAAGGGCCGGGTTCAATACCTAGGGGTTCCTCGTAACCCTACAACACAGAACCGGCTCGAGCCCCCGCCCAGTAATCTGGGAAAACTAAACAGCACCCCGCTAAGAGGCAGTACTTCCCCTCTCACAAGCATTGAGTCTGTGTATAACAAAAGAGAACTTGTATTAAAAGAGAAAGGCATGAGTTTGGGAAAATACCACAACCACATTCAAAACCGGGCAGTCATGAGCCAAACTGACCCTAGAGCGCGCTGGGCAGCGTCCTTTTCCTCAGTTTCCCACTGATGAACGAATGTCCCTGTAGCACATCACTCCCCTCTCCCTCCACTGCACTCCACTCCCAGTTGCTGTCCTTGATCAGCAAAGGCTCAGAGGTGCCTTCGTGAGGGTTCCCCTCCCACCCCCGGGAAGGAGGGGTGGGGAAGCATTGAGCAGTGCTTCCATGGCTGCCTCGCACGGTTGCCGCCGTTCACTCTGCCGTTGCTCCCGCTGGCCGCTGCAGCCATCGTTCACCCTGCCACTGCTGCTGCTTCTCCGCTGCCACCTGCCCCTCTCTACCATAACACATTTTGAGGCTCCCCCACAGAACCCAGATCAGTGGGGAAGCTGCAGGCTGGGCAGTGATTTTCACGGGGGTTGGGGGGGGTGAGCACCCACCAGTGCCAGGGAAAGTTGGCACTTATGATGCAAGGAACCTACAGGCTTGTATCCTGTAAGACATTGGCTTCAGCAGTTAGCATGAGGCTTGAGGCCTACGAACTTTGGCATAGATAAACTGGAAGGATAGCTCAGTGGTTTGAGCATTGGCCTGCTAAACCCAGGGTTGTGAGTTCAATCCCTGAGGGGGCCACTTGGGGATCTGGGGCAAAATCAGTACTTGGTCCTGCTAGTGAAGGCAGGGGGCTGGACTTGATGATCTTTCAAGGTCCCTTCCAGTTCTAGGAGATGGGGTATCTCCATTATTTTTTTTTTTTTTTTTTTTTTTTTTTAGGTAACTCAGAAGTTTTGAGGCAGTAGAGTGTAAGGGGGAATTTTGTCCATAATGACATCAGCCAACCACAGAACATGAACTGACTGACACCAACTTCTGGAAGGTTTTGGACGGAACATCCATGGCAACAAATTGACGTATATGATAATGGGGTGAAATCTTAAATACACTAACCTACAGAAGGAGGACACCTTAACATTGGTAAGGGGAGGAAATACATATAAGGAAGAGGGGAGAAACCCCTATTGAATATGCATTAGACATGGTAATGTCAGCGTAACATATTATAAAAGTGGCATCCCAGGGCAGTAGGGGAGAGAGATGTAGCCCTTGGGAGGGGCCGGACTGATGGCCACTGGTGAAGATGAGGAAGGTGACGGTGACGAGGAAGATAATGGCTAACATTGCAGGTTGTTCGGCAAGGGATGGTGGGAGGATGGATGTTCCGATGTACTTTCTGTATTATCTCTATCTACCTTACTGAGGTAGAGTGCGTGTGACTTTGCTAAATGTATTAATGAATTATTTATTTGTAAATATAAAAGAGTTCCTATAGAGTGAGTGTTACACCTGTGCACATCGGGGTTCCCAACTATATAATCATTTTAATAATAATACTGAGCCTGACCTTGGGACAAGAACCTGTCAACCCTCAAAGTGATAACTGGGAATTTCTATTCATAATCTATAGACCAGGCTACACCGGGGCCAATGTCAGACTCGCTGGGGCTCAGGTCTGAAACTGAAGCTTGAGCCCCGCCGCCCCGGGCTGAAGCCCCTGGGGTGGCAGGGCTCTAGCTCTGCCCCCCCCCCCCCCCCCCCGCCTGCCCGGGGCAGTGGGACTCAGGTTTCATCTCTGCCTACTCTGTCTCCCCCAGCCTGGGGTCATGTAGTAATTTTTGTTGTCAGAAGGGAGTTGCGGTGCAATGAAGTTTGAGAACCGCTGCCTAGCTCATCACTAGATGTCAGGGGAGATCTCCTTCAGACCGTGCTTACCCATGGACTGCCCAAGGGCTCATGGGCGGGGGAGATGGACAACATGGAAAACATGCCTGTACTTCCCGCTCTGGTTGCTCCCCGATGCAGCTTACCCTGCGCTGCTCCCCTGTCCCTCCCTGACCTTTAAAGGCTTCTTACCTCCCCCCTCCCCCCGACACACACACACTCAGTCTTCCCAGCTTTATTACTGCCTCATCCCCACTGAAATCCGGCTGGGCAGGAAGATCTGTGAGCCACCACTGGATACCACTTCACTCACAGGGAATCACAGGACAGTACCAGGGAATTCCCAAAACTCAGCTTAGCAGCCGGTAGACTTTTCAGAGCTGCAGGGCTGGGGCCTATATTGAACCTGGGAAGCCTGGTTGTTAAGGAGCCAGGAAAACAAGAGTGAGGGAATCCAGGAATCTTTGAGAGCCCACCTGATCCTTTTCCTTATGGCAGTGCTTCCAAGCGGTCAGAAAAGCCAAATACAGCACAGTTTGTTTGGATGGAATAAACGACTGTGAGGGAACTTTCCCTGCAGTAAATAAAAGCGTCACCTCTTCATCTTCTTTTTGATAAACTAAATGGATTGAGTCCTTTAAGGGTCTCACTGGCAGGCATTTTTTCTGGCCCTCAAATAATTTTTATGGCTCTTCTTTGCATACACTCTCCAATTTTTCAACATCCTTTTACAAATGGGGACAGTAGAACTGGACCCAGTATTCCAGTATCAGTCTCTCCAGTGCTGTCTTCGGAGGTAAAATCGCCTCTCCACTCCTACTCACTGCTCCTTTCTTTACATGTGCAAGGAGTTCATTACAATTTAAGCACATGCTTTAAGTGCTTTCCCGGATCAGGACCTGTATAAGTACTTTGTACATCATCTGGTCGGATGTATCCATCGGTTACAGCAGGGCCGGCTCCAGGCACCAGCACAGCAACCAGGTGCTTGGGGCGGCCAACGGAAAGGGGCGGCAAGTCCGGCTCTTCGGCGGCAATTCGGCAGTGGGTCCGTCAGTCAGCGGGAGAGACAAGAACCATGGTGTGAAAAGGGATAGAGATGATATTTGCTAAGGGGGTCTGAAGTGACGCTTAGAGTATAGGGGGAAGTGTTAGCCCAAAGGAAAGCTTTGCACAGAGTAGGCTTTTGGTGTCTCAGTGGGGCCTGAGCAGGTTCTTCGGGGCATAAAGTCCTCTTTTCCTGACCCATCACAGTCCAGATCTGAAGATGTAGATGAAGTTAGCCAGGATCCCCATGGAAATCATCGAGTAGCTGGTTTCCATGCTGCTGGCTCCATTCACATTGCACAATAGTTTATCGCAGCAAAACACTTTAGCACCCGTTTTGCCTTGCTTCATGATCGTTTTGGGGCACTCCGGAGAGCACATCTTGGAGATGCGGTATTTGGATTTGGAACCTTACCCGGGAAAAGGAAACAAAGAGAGGAATCGTTGCTGAAAAGTTTCCTTGAGTTCTGACTACATTTAGTACCAAGGAGATAATAGTATCAAAGTGCCTATGCAATAATGACCAACAGGGTGGAATTTCTTTACAATTAATGACTAACTAGGCCCTTACCCCAGTCAGTCTTTATAAGCCAGGAAATGCAGGAACCAGATGCTTTCAGATAATGGTTAGACTCAGGCTATGGTGTTCATTTTACAGCACTTAGTATTTAAAGACCGCTAGGTAGTAGCCTCTAACATGCCCTTTAGATTCCTGACCCAGACAGGCACTATGGTGATAGGGACCATATAAGAACCTAGAGAGACGGAACATCCAAAAAATAGACTGGCCCATAGAGAATCCAGTCCAGATTTTAGATTCAGCCCACTGCATGCTAGGATGGAAATTTGAGAGTTTGGTGAGTGCCCTGTACACACCCAAGCAGTGCATATGTGAGCAACAAATTCAGCTGAGCACATTAATGTGATACAGTAATGCCCTCTGACATGGCATGGCACATTCACTGGTGGGGGGAACAGGAATTCTTCCCCAATATTCCTGTAGGATCATCTAGGGGAAATCCTAATGGGACCAGTGCAGGACTACAGCCAGTATGACAAGGCAGGATGGCATGGTACTGCCCACTGACCTGCCGGATGTATGGCATTGCCTGCACTGGCTTCATCCCAATCACTCACCAGACCCCAAACCTTCCAGACCACCACTGGGCTCTCCCTCCCATTAGTGTGTCTTAGTGAGATTCTGGGAGGATCCCCTCCCAAGGAGACTGCCTCTTGGTGGTGTGAAGTTTCCTGCTGCTCGGCAGTTTGCTGTTCAGTGATCATTTATTTATCCTTCCAGAAGAAGATGGGGTGGGAGAGAGCCACAAAAACCTGGAAGTGTGGCCTAAGAGAGGGAGATTAAATAATGCTGTGCTTAATACTACATAAATCGATTTGTATGTCACTTAGACACCATGTTCACTAGAGCCTTAGAAATACCTTTGGTGGGCCAGAGCCTCGGCTGGTATAATCTGCAGAGTTCTCTTGACTTCAGTGGAGAAACCCCAAGTTATTCCAGCTCAGGATCTGGTCTGGTAGTTCTAAAGCTAGGCAAGTGGTGAGCAGAGACCTCTGTCAGTGAGACCTGAGCTCCTAAGTCACGTAGGTGCTTTTGAAAACCCCATCCTTTCCTGTTACCTTGCCCTCTCCCCACCCCAGTCTGTCTGTCTCATCTACCTGTTGAATCTAGTCATTGCCTAGATCATGAGCTCTTTGGGCCAGTCCTTAATGGAATGTCTGTACAGCACCCAGCACAAGAACGCCCCAATCCCTGACTGTGGCCCCTAGACACCACTACAATACAAATAATGCGTTATAACGATGGATGATTCCAAAACGTACCAGCTCCTCCAACGTCCTTGATTGTCACACAATAATTGTCTTCTTTTGCGCACATAGATATCTTCATGCAGTACTTGTTCGACGTCTCCCCTTGGCATGTGTAGCACATCAACGAGTGACCTGCAAAAGGAGCACACGACATGGTTTAGAATTTGGTAGGAGCAGAGGCTTCCTTCTCAGATGATCTAGCTCAGTGGTTTTCAACCTTTTTTTCAATTGCAGATCTCTAAAATATTTCAAACGGAGGTGCGGACCCCTTTCGAAATCTTAGACATAGTCTGCAGACTTCCAGGGGTCCACAGGCCACAGATTGAAAACCACTGTTCTGTGGTAACGACAACCTTTCACAGACCCCTTAAACATTGACTGAGGACCCCCAGGGGTCTGCAAACCACAGGTTGAAAACTATTGATCCAGATGCCTCTGTTTTCCTTCAGCCTGGATATGGCTTGTGACAGATTTGGCAATTTCCTGCAATATCCTGAACACACACAGTTTAAGTATTTTTGGAGTCCAGTGTCTTAAAAATGCAAAGTTATATAGTATAGTGCAGTTGTCTGTAACTTCTCTAGGGCCAGTATGAACCATGGTGAGCTTCAAAGGACTATTTTAAACAATGTGCCTAACAAAGTTAAGTTAGGTTCCCAAGAAATACCTAGGGGGAAGTGAACGCAAATTACCCCCTCAGGTTATGCAAAGACTGGGCCCTATCGAAGCTTTGCCCTGAGGAGTGGCCCGTTGTCTGGCTGATGTCCATTCATGATCTCCACAGATCAAAGACCCCAACTGTATAAATGAGTGACTTACAGATCCATGGGGGCTCAGGGCTAGGGCAGAGGGTTGGAGTGAGGGGGATGAGGGCTCTGGCTGGGGGTGCGGGCTCTGGGGTGGGGCCGGGGACGAGGGGTTTGGGGTGCAGACTACCCCGGGGCTGCGGCGGGGAGAGAGGACTCCCCGCCCCTCATCCCTCTCTCACCGCAGCAGCTTGGGGCCAGGGTAGAGGCGTTTCTCCTTCTCCTGTGACCTTTTTACTTTAGATGTGGGGACCTTGCTACCGGCAGGGCCGGCTCCAGGCACCAGCTTAACAAGCAGGTGCTTGGGGCGGCCAAGGGAGAGGGGCGGCACCTGCGGCAATTCGGGGGCGGCAGGTCCCTCACTCCCTCTAGGAGCGAAGGAGCTGCCGCTGAACTGCCGCCGCCGATCGCGGCTTTTTTTTTTTTTTTTTTTCTTGGGGCGGCAGAAATGCTGGAGGCGGCCCTGAATAGCAGTGAACCAAATGGCATGTGGGTATTATAGCTGGAATCTTCATGACAGATGCTGGTTTTCTGGAGTTTCTTAAAAAGAGGAAGATAGGGAGGTGAATATTAATTGGAAGGCTGGGCTCAGCGTAAAGGGTGACTCAGAAAAAGCATGCAGATGGAAAACTGCAAATGAGATGAAGAAAGTAGTGGAGCATAGACACACACAGCAGCCATGATTCTGACGTCATTGAAGTCTATACTAAAAATCCCAGTGGTGCAGGATCAGCCCAGGGAGAGGGAGTAGAAGGCAGCCTATGTCTTCTTCTGGACTAGTGAATTCAGTTTCATAACAGCAACAAGATGTTCCAAACAGGGCACTTGGAGGTTATATATTGAATTTCTCAGCAGAGTTAAACTCACTTGGGTTTTGGATTTCTGCCAGTAACCAAGGAGCACAACAGTCCTCAAGAAACACACTCCCTGGGGCTTGATGTTCAATGGGTTTTTAGAACTCTTTACTAATGTTCAGTGTGAAGGTAAGCTGTGCTAGTGAATGTGTGCATGGAACAAGACAGGTCGGTGCAGGATCCATTATTCACTTGACCAGCACTGTTCACTCCTTTAATTATATAATTTGGTTGACCCATCCATCCCATTTATTTAAAAATTAATGTTGAAATTGTGGTCCCATTGAAGTCCATGGCAAAAATCCCATTGGCTTTAATAGGGTTAGGATTTCACCCCAGTATCTTCTTTTACCTAAACTAATGGTGTGGGGGGAGGTGAGGGGAGGAAAAAAAATTAATAAAATAACCCCAGACAATTCCAAAACCAAACTTTGCTTTAAAAAAAGGGGGCGGGGAGGTTGCTAAATGACAACAGTAACATATTTAATCACTTACAAAATCCGTTCCCTTATTAGCAAGGAAATTAATAGTTAAAGATATTATAACTCTTACACTGCCAACATAATAAACACATTACTGTGTTCTCCTCAAATTCCTTAATGTAATGCCACAGCCTTAACTGTGATCCAGAATAAACTGCATTATTTCATGAGTAACTTCAAAATATAAACAAGACACACAATCCTTTTGAAAAGGTAACATGAACATTGCAAATTTATACATTAATGATCCATATTGATCAGCCTCAAATATACATTTACATATATACAGGTTACCATAAACCAATAATGTTTTGCATTTTGTTGGCTGAATCATATATACAGCATTATTCTCAATTTCAAGTATTTCCCCCCAAAGTTCTACTGTTAGTTGATAAGTAACTGATATGATTTAACATTTAACAACATCACTGCAAAAAATTAGCGGCTACAATCAAGATATTTAGATATTATAACCAAGATAATAAAAATAAAATAAAATAACTTCCCATGGGTTAGACTTAAAGCTGTTGTGATGGAATATGCATTTCTTTACACTTGATAAGAATGTGTTTGCTTATTGTGTAGGCAGCATAGGGATTTTGCTGATATTAAGTATTCACTTTGTTGCTTTTAAATGCTTGAATTTTGTAAATGTCGTAAGAAGGAAGTACATTATCACTTAGCACGCTTAACTCTTTGTTAGACAGTTTTTGTTGTTGTTTTGGGTGTGGGGGTTGTTTTGGGTTTTTTTTGGACTACAGACACTTGGTACAACAAAGGTGTATATAGTACATAGTACTGTATTGTTATTCATAGGTACATGGCACTATCTTATTCTATACTGATGGCCCCAGAATTAGATGGTGCAGTGTTTTTTATACACAGGTAGAAACATGGGTATTTGGTGTAGAAATATTACTTTCTGCTTAGCAGTCCTGTGCTACCTATTTTGTATGTAAATGAAAGACTGAATGTTATAGTACAGTATAGTTCTGGCTTATGGTCATAATTGTTTATCTTTGGGATTTTTGCCATGGACTTCAATGGGACCACAATTTCAACATTCATTTTTAAATAAATGGGATGGATGGGTCAACCAAATTATATAACGTTTAAAATAGCCCTATTAAATCTAAACACACACTTGTTTGGGGTTTTTTGAAAACATGAGTTTAACATAGTTTATCTTTAGTCCACACAGGCTGCACAACTCATGTCAGAAACTGATTTATCTGCCAATGTGTTTACAACTCATTTGTTAGCCAGCATGAAGAAGGCCTTAGGTGACATGCAGATCCCAGTCCCAGCTTGGGAGGATTGCTACAATAAATTTCATGGTGTTTGTTTTACTTGTGCTGCTCCACTTCCTGCTCTCTAGTCTAGGAGCATGTTCCCAGCCCTCCAGTACAAAAGCTAAATTCTTGAAGAAAAGTTCTTTTAAAAGACTCTCAGAGTGTGTGAACATTTGTATGAGTGTGTCTTTGTTGGTGCATGTATGTGAGGTAGGGTGACCAGATGTCCTGGTTTTATAGGGACAGTCCCGATTTTTGGGTCTTTTTCTTATGTAAACGCCTATTACCCTCCACCCCCTGTCCTGATTTTTCATATTTGGTGTCTGGTCACCCTACAGTGAGGGGAGGTGTATGTATGTGCTCTAGAGGGAGTGTGTCTGACTGACTGATTGATTGAATATGGGTGAGAATGTGCTGGGGGAGGGGAAGGAGTATGTGTGAGTTCAAGGGATGTGTGTGTCAATATTTACCTGGGGAAGAGTGTATAGGAGAGTGAAGGAAGTCCTGTGTTTTGGAGGGAGATGAGTGTGAGGTGTGTGGGTATGTGTATGTATACTGTACTGTCTCCTACAAAGTATCTTGGGCAGTGGGGCCTGGTGTGCAATTACTGAAAATGAAACTGCTTGTAATACTTACCTAGTAATTCCCATACTGGTGTCATAACTATAAAGGGAAGGGTAACAGCTGTACTGTAAAATCCCTCCTGGCCAGAGACTCCAAAATCCTTTTACCTGTAAAGGGTTAAGAAGCTCGGGTAACCTGGCTAACACCTGACCCAAAGAACCAATAAGGGGACAAGATACTTTCAAATCTTGGGGGGGGGAAAGGCTTTTGTTTTGTGCCCTTTGTTTAAGTTGTTGTTCACTCTTGGGACTGAGAGGGACCAGACATCAATCCAGGTTCTCCCCATCTTTCTAAACAAGTCTCTCCTATTTCAAACTTGTAAGTAAAAAGCCAGGCAAGGCGTCTTCGATTTACTTTGTTTTTTCAACTTGTAAATGTACCTTTTACCAGAGGGTTTATCTTTGTTTGCTGTACTTTGAACCTAAGACAGAGGGGGGTCCTCTGAGCTCTTTAAGTTTGATTACCCTGTAAAGTTATTTTCCATACTGATTTTACAGAGATGATTTTTACCTTTTTCTTTAATTAAAAGCCTTCTTTTTAAGAATCAGATTGATTTCTCCTTGTTATAAGATCCAAGGGGGTTTGGATCTGTATTCACCAGGAGTTGGTGAAAGGAGGGTGGGAGGAAGGAGGGGGGATGGTTAATTTCTCCTTGTTTTAAGATCCAATGGGGTTTGGATCTGTGTTCACCAGAGAATTGGTGAAAGGTTTCTCAAGGCTTGCCAGGGAGGGAATTCTTGAGATGGTGGCAGCGGACCAGAGCTAAGCTGGTAGATAAGCTTAGAAGTTTTCATGCAGGCCCCTACATTTGTACCCTACAGTTCAAAGTGGGGATACAGCCTTGACAACTGGAGAGACCAATGATCCGTGCAGCCTTTCTGACAGTGGTCAATGCCTAAGGTTACCATATTTTGAGCCTCCAAAAGGAGGACACTCCACGGGGCCCCGGCCCCGCCCCCAGGCCCGCCCCCGCCCCCGCCCCAACTCCGCCCCTTCCCCAAAGTCCCCGCCCCAACTCCGTCCCCTCCCCTGCTTCCCGCGAAGATTTGATTCGCGGGAAGCCTGAAGCAGGTA